TATTGTCTCGTTAAGTGCACAGCATTGTAGTATCTGGACACTAGCAAACACAAATAAAGTGCGAGCTCTTTCAAGCTCATGTTCTGAGTGCCGAGTGGATCCGTCGAAACGTAATACGGAAAAAAATTGTTGAAAGACTCAAATAAGCAAACCAAAATGTCACAAGGCTAAAAGTATTCACTTATAGTTAGGTACCTGGACATTTGCATTTTTAACTTACGTTACTCAGGGCCGCTCTGAAGGTGTAACGTTTGCAACGCTGGACAGCCCAGCCTTGCACGAAAGGTTGAATATCTTCGGACGTTTTGAGGAACAAAATGGCCGTTGTTTTACTGTAATGTGCATGTTAATGTGACGTCAAGCTCCCGTGACCGCGGTAACACGTGGTCACACACAAGCACACGAGTGATAATCGGTTATGTCGAGGCCAGTCAGAGCCACATGAAATGGAACTAAGTAAAGTGCAACGTTGTTGAGTCATGCGAGAATTATTGCTATTATGTGAAATAAGGTGGCCTGGAAGGGCACCATTGTCTTGTCTGAGCGCAACGGTTATGAATACAGCAGTGTTGACTGAGCGTGGGTTTTTGGCATACCCACATGATTTGGGCCTCAGGGTTGATTTTTAAGTTATTTTGAAAGAAGGCACGCACCATTTTCTTGAACCACCACACCTTCATTTGTTAATATGACTGTGACATTTCCCTGTCCAGAATTTCTAACACAATCGCAGATGTTTTCATACAAAAGCTTCCAGAAAAGCATATTAATCACCCTGTGTAACATAACAGTGTTTGAAAAATGTTCAGCACGTGAAAAAGAGCAGGCCTATCTGCGTGGAAATCAGTCTTTAAATCAGTGGCGCGGCTCCCGCTGCGCCGACCAATGCCTGGACCTGTGTCGGGACGCTATCCGCGGCCGATCAGCGGTCGACGGCAGCAGGAGCAGCAGCGGCAGCCGGCGGGGCTCCGGTTAGCCGGAGCCGACCGGCGGGGCTCCGGTTAGCTGGAGCCGACCGGCGGGGCTCCGGTTAGCCGGAGCCGGCCGGCGGGGCTCCGGTTAGCCGGAGTCGGCCGGCGGGGCTCCGGTTAGCCGGAGCCGGCAGGCGGGACTCCTGTTAGCTGGAGCTGGCCGGCGGGGCTCCTGTTAGCTGGAGCCGGCCGGTGGGGCCCTGGTTAGCTGGAGCCGGCCATGGGCTCCGGTTAGCTGGAGCCGGCCGTGGGGCTCCGGTTAGCAGGAGCCGTCCGACTCCGGCCGGCCAACGCTGGGCACGATCTGGCTGGTGGCGGAGGTCGCCGGATGAGACGTCCCCGGTCGGGTGTTGGGCAGACCGGCCGCCGGTCGTTCAACGTTTCCTGGCTGGAAGTGCGAGAGACGGCAAAAAGCCGACTTAGAGTGGACTGACGGAGAGATGAATATAAGTCTGAGTCCGTCGGCCAAGGGCAATTGGTCGACCATGTGATCCACGGGACCGGAGGTGAGACCCGGCATATCTAACGCCTAACATGGCATATCTAACAGCTAACATGTTAACCGTCGGGTTAACATCTAGAACCCACTGTTTCCTGGCAATCTTTGACGATCACGTCGCTGCCTGAGCTGCCCGGCGCAGGTGTGCTGTCGCGTGGCGGGGCCGTGTGAAAGGCAAGCAGCAGACACGCGGAAGTCACGGACCGTCGCGCATATCTTGCTGTCTCATGCCTGCGGTGGAATTCTTGCGCCATCCGGTAGGCTATGTATGTAAACATGCAATATATGCTGGCACTTTCGCTTCCAGAAGCGGATTGCCTTTAATAAGGTTTATGAGCTGGCCCATCGCCAAATGATGTTGATCTAGAAATTGCATCCGCAATCGACATGTTGCATTTCATTGCAGCTCTGCCCTGGGCTGCATGCGTATTTGTGCTATTGCTGGTGATACACCGAACACTACGATATGGTCAAAAACCGTGTAAGTTAAGTCATATGCTAGTATAAAGCTCAAGCCGTTTTGTAACAATGGGCTGAATCATGATTGTATACAGACGAAAATGTAACTTGTATATAGTTTCTCAGTCTTTTAACTCTTAGATAGTTACTCACGGTCTCAGAAGATGCGTGGATTTGGTTGAAACAAGTCAAAGCGAGATTTTCGCCTTGGACTCGTGTTGCGTGCGGGCACAACGTAACGGGCAGTGCAGCCAGCGTTATCCTACGCCTGTGCATGCCCCGCGCTGGGTATGCCGCCGTCCGCTGACAGAGCGAAGCTTTGGCTCCTCTGACTAGCAGTGAATCCCGGCCCTGCCGAAAACAAGGGCGGTGTTGAGCACACATTCACCGAAGAGCGGCGAGCGCAGAGCTCAGTGGAACTACGCTGCCGAGTGATGAGGGCATTAGTGCTTGTCACAGGCGTCCTTTCGAGTTTTGAAAGAGCACGGCATCCAACAGAGGCGGAGAGACGCCGCGGGTGACTGCCAACCGCGCTGCTCAGAGCCCGTGATCCAATGTCCAGCCGGGGTCATTGTTCCAGCGAAGGCCTCAGACGGTCGTCTTGGAGCGCGCCATCACGTCCGGCGCGGCCCTCTGCTGACGGAGGGGTCGGCTGACGGGATGGGTGCCACACGCGGACGACCGACGGCCCCCGCGGGCCGACCTCATGACGTCCCGTCACTGATTCCGGATGGGACCGCCAGCCGTCCGACATCGGCACCTTTCATCGTCAGAATACCCTTCACGCTTGTCCTGGCTGGGTACCTGACAGGCGGTCGGCTGTATGGGACGCGCTGATATTAAGAGTCGGCTTTGTTCGAACACGGAACGGTGTGGCCCTCTGGAACGGAGTGGCGTTGTGCAGACCCATCACCCTCACGGACTCACAAGCAGTAGATGTTTTGACTTGTCACGATGCGTATATGAATGGAGGATGCTACCAAATATGTCCATAAACTGCACGCGAAATATGTGAAATAGTAGCGGAATAGGATGCTACTAAATCTCTACATTGCTTATATTCATCGCATGAAGTCTTGGATTAACGAATTTTATGATTTCGTACCCGTGTCCACTGAATTGCAATTAGAGTATCGAGCTACTCAAGTTTGTGGTCCACCGTCAATCACCTTTGCACCCCGTATGAAGTGAAAGGTGAACTTTAGATACCCGCCCGAGACCGCTTCATTTTTTTACTGAATTCTCCCCGTTGTGGACCAATTATCAGTCTGATGGCTGTGGGACGTTCTGTTAGCCGTAAAACCGGTCGAGGTCGGCGTGGGGTCGACGCTCTGCCGACCGTCTGTGCCGAAGAGATTTGAGGCGCTTGGGACCGGTTAGAGGACCCAGCATCACTCGGCACCGCCGAGTTTTCTCGATAGAGGGGGGGGGGGGGGGGGGTGGGGTTAAGACGCACATTCCGTACCTGGTGCCCTATGCATCCTGGGCAGGTTGCAAACCCAAATTTGCATCGAGCACGGTCGCCGCCATGCCGCGAGAAAATAGCAGGCATTCTCCATGAGAGCGAGTATGATTGATGGCTTGTTCGGCTTGCGCTTTGCATAGCACATGACAATTGACTCGATGCCAGGCCCGCGATCCTTTGAGCGACGGACGGCGCACGCGCATTCAAGACGGGACAGTCGACTGAGGCTACTAGCACCGAGGACTGGGTCATAAACGGACCGCTTTTAGTACTCTCGTCTAAAATATGCGGAGAAACTCCGCCAGAGGCGTATACCATCGAGGTCATTGTCCGTACCTTTACAAGCCAATTTTTATATCCTACTTTCGACACTCAAATCACGATGAAATAAGTTTTGAATGTATGGACGTGTACACGGCAGTGAATTCGCGGCTAGAGAAAAGCACACCGTAACGAGGGATTTGCACATTTGCTCGTGGGCTCGCGGCTTAAATTCCATCGATGTCTTCCAACTCTGACCTCGGCCTTCGTTGCACCACTCTGCCCCGCCGGGCTGCTGCCGGTTTTTGTTTCGTCGCCCGGTGATAACAATGGATCGGCCGGCCAACCGAGCTGACAGCCGTAGCCGAGGCAGATTGGAATGCAGCGTGGACACAAAACAGGTGGGGTAGGGGGGGGGACACCATGAGCTTGGACTGACGCCACCCTGCCCGGTTGGTGCGTGGACAGCTGCTATTGTGACCTCGATAGGGTCACGCAGCACAAACCGGAACAGCTGCATGCTAGTGCGTCTACCCGGCTTGAGTTGGAAGGATCAGCAAGTAACAATAAAGCCAGGCGGTCACTGAGGATAGGTGACGACCCCGCGGACGACGCCCTTTGTCGCCGCGGGGCAGAAAAGTCCGGAACACGCCGGCCTAGCAAATAACTCTGAGAGGCGCACACGGACTGGCGGCCCGGACAAGAATGCGGCTGCTCATGCCCTGTATTCTCCCATACGCTGACCGCACTGTGACGGCCCTTGGTCCTTTTTTCAGCTGCCGGTCTGAGTCGGCCCGCCCACCTTCCACTCCCTGTGATACCATGTCGGAGCCCGTGCATTCCGAGCTGGCCTCGCCTGCCGCGTGCAGATAGTACGCGGTCGGCTGCCATATCGCCAGGATGCTGCCAAATCGGGGCGGCGCGAGCCTTGTGGGCTGCGCGCTCCTGTTTTGTTGCGTGCTGACGCTGGGTCAGGGCCTTGGGAAGCCGTCTGTTGACGTCTTCACTCCTCAAATGCCGCATAAACCAAAAAGTAAGTACCTTCAATTGCACGGTCGTGTTCGACAACATCGTGCGTACGTGAGCGGCAACATCTTGAAAATGCGTTGTTGTTCTGCCTCTAATTAGAAAACAAACGTGCACTGAGCCATCCAGCCGCTGTTGATTATAGCAAAGTATAGGGTGCTGTTTTATGACAGTGATATACAACCGATGTGCATCGCTTCCTACTTGTCTTCCCTCGCAGCATGCACAATGCGCTGATCGGCGCCCGCGCTGGCGCCGCCGCGTCTGTGGCGTCGCCGCACCCCCTGCCCCGCGCCTGACCGGCCCGCCGTGCCCACAGTCTGCATCGGCACGAGCGGACGCATGTCCGTGCCGGGCAACCGCACCACCCACTACCAGAACCTCAGGGACCGCTACACCAACTGCACCTACGTAGACGGCAACCTGGAGCTCACCTGGCTGCAGGACGACCGGCTCGACCTCAGCTTTCTGCAGTATATCCGAGAGGTGGGCTGGCGACGGCGCGCGGGAAGGGCGAGATTCGCCTGCGCGAGCCTGCGCCGGGCGCTGGGCCGCTGCTGGGGTCACGCCGGTGCAGATGACGCGGCTGGTGCAGATGACGCGGCTGGCCCTGCAGAAACGCTCGACTTGTTTTGGGGTAGATCTTCCATTTGGGGTCAACGTTATCCCCTGTATGTTGCAAGTGCAATTGCCCTCTTTTGTGGTGCAACTGATAAGCCTAGCCTCCACTGTGTTATCTCAGAGCTTCGTATTGTCACGCCCCGTATTCTGCATTCTCGTGCCAAATAAATATAAGGTGTTTTCTTGGGGGGGGGGGGCGATATGTCTTTTAAGCTCTTGGTGTATCTCTGACACCGAGCAGCAGCGTGTTATAATCACATAAATTTTCATTGAAAATAGTCATCAGTCCTTATGTGGTAGATAAGCGACAAAGAATGACACAACCTTAGATAAGTTACATTTTGAAAAGTGCGAAGTGAGAATGCAATGGGTCTTTGTTATTACTCAGGTCCAAAGCAAAGCAGGTTGACGTCGTAAGTTAAGAGCTACCCGATGTAATTCAGTGAAGTATGTTGCCATCCTCATAAGTTCAGTCCTATTTCTATTAAGTATATATCCTTGATAGTTACTTTCGAACAGCAGTTGACAATGGTCACTGTTGTCATAAAACATTGTATTTTGACGGATGTAGAAATCAGCTAAACAAACACAGTGGTTGCGTATCTGCCGGCGAGGCAGATAGTGTGAAAACCAAGAGCCCAAAACTTTGCACTAAATCGAACGCTACAACTCGTCAATATTTCACTCGATCGTCCCCGCATCCCAAATGTGCCGCGATGTTTGTGTACATGAACAGGTCGTGTTGCGACAAGCAGTGAAGTGTACCACACCGGGGTTAATAATTGCGAATGTATCCGTACAGAGCGGTCACATTAGCTAAGGCACACAGACGTTCACACGGTCTGCCGAGAGGGGGGGGGGGGAGGCGCCCGACAGCTGCCGCACCGCCGGTCACCGGGGCCACACAGCTGCCTGCTCTGTTCGGCGATCGGCCGGCCCCAGACTGTGAGCGGGACTAATCTGCGTCCCATCAGAACCAGTGATAGTGCAGGGGGGCGGAGGGTGGCCCGTGACGCAGCCGAACAGGCCCCGGTCACCGCTATCAGTGCAGGGGGCGGAGGGTAGCCCGTGACGCAGCCGAACGGGGCCCGATCAACACCATCAGTCGGTGACTGGTCGGATAGGTAAACAACGGCGACGTCTCTCCGGGTGCAGGGGCCTTGGTGCAGTCCGCCACAGATACAGGGGGCTCACACTCGTACATGTGCACACAGCGTAGCTGTGGGATTGCAATGAACCAACTCAAATGATGTTTTGCGGGAAAGAAAGTACATCCAGTAGATCTTGGAAAGCCATGACCCGTTAGATGCTCGTTATTGCAATGCGCGGGCAACAGGACGGGTTGATGCTTTCAATTCGGTATGAATGACACGACGTTAGCCTGAGATATTGGGGTTATCCTTGGCCACATGCGTGTTTTCTGCGTTCATGCAATATTCCCAGGCGATAGGTAATGTGGAGGACATTAAGCCACGATCTGCATGTTTCCGCCCATTTACAAATGGCAACCTGTATGTGCCCAGCATGATAAGGTCTTTGCTCCAAGTGCGTGAAACATTTCTTCCCAAGTGATATCACGTGCAATTTCCGGGAAGATTTACACGCAGATAACAGGACAGAACAAAGACAGCCGTCCGGCGTGCTATTTTTGGGCTGGCCATGCTGACAACGCGAGTGATGTAGCTCCCTCTGCATTGCAGCGAACTGTGACCTATATGTTTAGGTGAAGAGAACATGTCTCCTAGCATTGAATGGCCTACATTGGGTAAAAGAGACTGCGGGCATCGGAAAGAACTTCCGTATTTGAATTACCCCATCAGTGATACGTGTGATCGCGGTTCTTTTGCGTTGATATATCAGCGACTGTTCTAAAACGAACTGTTGTTTTCGTGCCCAGCACAATTCTAATAGGTGCCTGATTTTTTGTTTCCGCAGTTCCAAAAGCGATTCATACGCCCTGCCCACACTGACTATAGGAAAGCAGGGGCTGTGCTATTTTTTTTGTTTTACTTATCTGCGTGGTAGTGCTGGATCATTTTCTGACCTGATGTGTTCGGCTTTCCTGTGATGTATTCTATAAGCAGATTGTAATGTGTAAAAGCACGCCCTCTGTTGTGGGTTGTTACAGTCTTTATAAGAACTCGGAGCGTTGCAAATGAACCGTGCCTGGTATGGATCTCACTCCAAGCAGTAAGCCTCGTTCTTAAGCATCCCTTCCAGACGTAAAAGCTAATTTACCCACAAAAGGAAGCTTGTAACGAGGCGTATAACTTTTATGTCTCGTTTAACTGAAATGTGTTCGGTATCATCACCCCCACGTTTTCTTGGCCCAGCAGACTGTCTGTTTGCACTTGGTGGACTAGCTTCGGACAGAGCACTGCGACCGCAGCTGCAGCTGCAGTCCTACCTAAACACCTAAAAGACCCGCAACGAAGCACACAAGCTTCATACACTAAGCTCGCCGCGAGCCATGCTCTCCAGTGACATCAAGCAGAAGCCTGTAGGTCACTCCCCCTCGCCAGCTCCGCGCAGGCGCCGGCCAGGCCACCGCCGGCGGCCTAATCACACATCTGGCTATCTGGCCCCGCATCGGCATGATGCAGCGACGGACGCCGGCACCGCCTGCACAGCGGGCCGCGGCGGCGCTGCACGCTCGCGCCGCCGGCGGCCGCCGGCGCCGGGTCGGCCGCGCCCGCGCTCAGTGACTTCACAGTTGTCGGCCGCCGCCGGCCGGCCGGCCATTAACCTGTACATTAATTTGTGGGCCGGCGGAGGCGGAGGGCCGGCGCGCGGGCCGGCAGCGCCGGCGACGCTCGGAGGGCCGCGTTCCGAGAACAGACTTCTCCGACGGCTGCCACAGAGACACGCTCTTGCTGTGATGAGGGGGGGGGGGGGGCAGGTGTACTTCATCTGGGGGACTTCGGCGCGGCTTCACGCATTGACAAGCTAATGAGAAGTGGACGAAAACGTCACATTTTCAGCGTGACATTCGTCCATTTTATATGTGCATGACTGTCCACAGTGTATGAACAGAAATAAAAACATGCATGTACTATCCACATAAGCAGTGCACCAGTTGCTAAGACACAGAACATATCATCGCTTATCTGTATTCAGTCGTGCAGACATCCTGGGACTCGACGCCTGTCAGACGCCGCCGTACCCGAGTCCCTGCCCCGACAAGTGACTGGTCCCCTGCCGTGTGAAGCCCTGCCTAACCGGTCCCATGTGGACGTGCCCCGACGTGGGACTGATCACTGCCACGTGACCCCAGGTGACCGGATACGTCCTCATCTCCTACGTGGACGTGCAGCGGCTGGTGCTGCCCTCGCTGCAGATCATCCGCGGGCGGACAGTCTTCAAGCTGAACGTGCGTGACGAGGAGTTCTCCCTCATGGTGACCATGTCCAAGATGCTCAGCCTGGAAATGCCGGCCCTCAGGGGTGAGTTTTCTGGTTCGACGAAACAGGAGCCAAGCGCCGGACAAATCGAGTCTCCACGTGTATGTGTGTGGGAGGGATGCTAGTGCGTTGGTGAATTCGGCATTGGCAATGGTCTTCATCTGCGCTCTCAAAGAGCCGTTCGAAAGGAGTGGATCCGAACGCGTTGCAAACGTCTCCGGTCTTCGTGAGGTCGGACGGATACCAGACCACCCCAGGAAGGGCAGCTGATGATCGTCAGATGTGCTGCGTGGCCGCTAAAAACGGCCGGCGCCCCAGCCGTGGTAGTGTGCCGTATTCCGTGCCCAGAGGAAAGGCTCCAGGCTCGGCACATGGCTGTTTTCACTGGCATGGTTCCAGCCGAGCCGCAACGGGATAGTGTCCACGCTGCGGTGGGACCATTCGTTGACGGACGTATCACTGGATGCTATTTCTACAATTATCGATCAGTCGACATTTGTTGGCGCTGAGTAGCTCAACGTTCGCTGCCATTATTGGCTGACATTGGTACATTGGTTCTCTGATCATGGGGTCATGGGGTGACATTCTTTTTTGCCGTTCCTCGGAGCACCAGAACTCCTGACAGGCTGCTACTGACGGTGACCAGCCCTTGGATGATGTGTGTTATGCGCTGTTTTCCACCGTCGCAGTGACACCGAATGCGTATACGGTTCAATTTCGTCGCCCTCACCACGTCTGTTCGAACTGTCCTGACCTCTGATCTTGAGTTGCGTCAGCTGTAAACCGGCGAGGGCCGCTGTCTGATGGGCCATTTGCTCTCTTCAGACGTACTGGCCGGCAGCGTGGGCATCTTCAACAACTACAACCTCTGCCACATTAAATCGATCAACTGGGACGAGATCCTGACCGGGCCGGGCGCGATCGACGTATACGTGTACAACTTCACGGAACGCGAGCGGAATTGCTCGAGCTGCCACGAGTCCTGCCCGGCCGAGGGCGGCTGCTGGGGGCCCGGCGCCGACAACTGTCAGCGGCTCAGCAAGATCAACTGCTCGCCTCAGTGCCACGGCGGCCGCTGCTTCGGTCCGGAGCCGCGCCAGTGCTGCCACCTCTTCTGCGCTGGCGGCTGCACGGGTCCCACCCAGTCTGACTGCCTCGCATGTCGGAACTTCTACGACAACGGCGTCTGCAAGCAGGAGTGTCCGTCCATGATGCGCTACAACTCCATCACGTATTCGTGGGAGCCGAACCCGGACGGCAAGTTCGCGTACGGTGCCACGTGCGTGCGCGAGTGTCCCGAACACTTGCTCAAGGACAGCAGCGCGTGCGTGCGCGCCTGTCCGCCCAACAAGAAGGCTGTCAAGGGCGAGTGTGTTCCCTGCAACGGACCCTGCCCCAAGGTGTGCGAGATCGGCAAGGACGGGATTATCCACGCCGGCAACATCGACCACTTCAAGAACTGCACCATCCTGCAGGGCTCGCTGCGGGTGATGCAGCACTCGTTCGACGGCTACCAGGAGATCTACAACAACTACTCTTTCGGGCCGCACTACGGCAAGATGCACCCGCGCCGCCTGGAGGTGCTGAGCACGGTCCGCGAGATCACCGGCTACGTGCAGATCGACGCGTACCACCCCGAGTTCCGCGATCTGAGCTTCCTGCGCGGCCTGGAGATCATCGGCGGCCGTTTCAAGTACGAGTATTTCACGGCGCTTTACGTGATCAAGACGTCGCTCGAGTCGCTTGGACTGAACGCCTTCCAGAAGGTGCGCTCGGGCGGCGTGCTGATCGCCGAGAACAAGCGGCTCTGCTTCGCCGACGGCATCAACTGGCAGGCGTTCATCTCACACGACAAGAAGTCGCAGTCCTCCTACGACGTCATGGTCGGGACGAACAGGAACGCCAGCGACTGCGGTGAGTCAACGCGAGCTCAGCCGACCTGCGCCCCTGCTCGAGGGGTTGCCCCAAAGGGCAGCGGACGAGATGAGACACTGGTGCGAGCTGCACGCGCCAAACTTGTATGCACAGGCGCCGAACGGAGCTTGCTGTCGCTTATACGTGCGTTTATCATTCTGAGTAGACATTGCATGACGTACAAATGCACACACTGTCCGACACTGAGAACTCAAGCACGATAAACACCCCGGCTTCTTGGAAGATCTGTCATCGCCCTGCATGCTGAATAGAGTGATGAGCAACGGTAGACATTCCTCGTCCGTGTTGTGCTTATACATGCCAGAGTTGCAAGATGGAATTTCGGTATGGCATGTGTGTAAACTAGCGACCAGATCGGGACGACGTTTCGTGTCTGTGTCTGTCTGCACCTGTGTACTCCGACGACTCCCGTGCGGTGTTTCGTGTCTGTGCCTGTGTCTGTGTCTATACCCATGTACCCTGACGACTCCCGTGCGATGTTTCACGTCTGTCTTCGTGTCTGCACCGGCGTACCCGGCGGCTCCTGTGCGGTGTTTTGCCTCCGCGCTATGATCGCCTGGCCCGCCCCGACCATCTGCCTCCGTCCGCAGCGGCCCATGGCCTCGTCTGTCACGAGCAGTGCACCGAGGACGGCTGCTGGGCGGCTGATGCCTCCAGCTGCCTGCGCTGTCGCCACTTTCGCGTCGGCGACCGCTGCGTGGAGAAGTGTGACCAGTCACTGGGGTGAGAGTCACGCGCGCACGGGCCCTCGTGCCGACCTGCGTGGCGAGCTGTCGGCACCGGATCACCCGCAGCCCGACGCCCGTCCCAGAGTATCTCTGGTGACGGATGTGAAATCGTGTGATTTTTGGCGTGCTTCCTTGACGGGGGAGCTATCTCCTACCTTGCGGTCTCTGCCAGTGTGGCCCACCTTCCAAGCGCGAGCTCAATCCGAAGTGCCTTGCCGTCGCACTCCGAGGCCCTGACCGCGCTCGCCGCCCTCAGGATGTACCAGCGCTCGGAGGACACGTGCGACATCTGTCACAAGGAGTGCGACGGCCCGTGCACCGGCCACGGGCCCGGCCAGTGCGTGCGCTGCAAGCACGTGCGCGACGGCCCGTACTGCGTGGCGCAGTGTCCGGCGACCAAGTACGACGCGGCGGGCGAGTGCCTGCCGTGTCACGCCAACTGCGTGAGCGGCTGCTCGGGCCCGGCCAACACGGTCGGCGAAGGCGGCTGCTTCAGCTGCGAGGGGGCTGTTCTGGCCAGCGACGGCTCAGTGGTGAGTCTCGCCGACTCTCGGACCAGCTGCAGCTGGTGGGAAAGCAGAGGAAGGGGGGGGGGGGGGGGCATTCATCGATCTTGAGCTGGTGCGGGTGATTTGCGACGTGTGTTGCCTGCCAGGCGTACGTCTTCCCAGCAAAATTCATGATTCGATCTCGCTTGACACCTCATCTCGTATGCTGCACGGCGCGTCAGACGGGGCTGCTGTCGTAAATAGCAGTCATTATTCAGCACCTCCGCTCCCACCAAAGTACACAATCGTACTACATCTTCGTGTGAAACTCCTCGACCGTGCTGTAAGCGCAGGCCAACGGGAACGACAGACCTCTCGCATCTGCTCGTGACTTGTCGATCGCTGGAGGTCCCGCATTCCGCCGCGCCACGGCGAGACGTTCGCCAGCTGTCGGCGGCTCGGCCAGCTGCACGGCCGGCGCTGGCAGGTGTGCCTCGGCGCTCCCACCGACGCGCGCCGGCTCTGGCTCTGAGCGATGGCGCAAGCCACGGCCGCTCAGATCGTCCCCGCAGCTGACGCTCCGAGACATCACGTGACCTTCTCTCGGAGACACTCGGAGACATCACGTGACGTGACGTGACATCGCGCCGCCTTCTCGCCCCAGGACCGGTGCCTGAACGTGAACGAGACGTGTCCGATGGGAACCTACTTCGAGTTCGTCGGCTGGCAAAAGCAGGGTCCGCTGCGTGCCCTGGCTGGGAAGAGTATCTGCCGCGGCTGTCATCCACGCTGCAAAAACTGCACCGGCTTCGGGTGAGTGGTCTCGGGATCTCACCTTGCTGGAAATGTCTAGGTTCTGACAGACTACAGCTGCCAGATTTACAGTGGCGATTAGCCTACGCAATACTGCTTGTTGCTTTCGATCCGATCTATCCATCTACACATCATCTTTATGCGCACATCCAGGCAGCTTCCTTACACAAGCTAAGTGGTTTGAATTTTCACCAGATCACTCCAACCCAAACCGAATGGTCTCTTAAACGTCATGTGTCTTTCTGGTTTTGCAGCCTGGGCATTTCTTAATTATTGTGTCAACATAACACGTCGCACACAACATCGCTAAGACTAAAAATAGCGTCACCCTTTAACGTACATATCTGCTCGAGTTGTGCAGCTACCAAATGTCACTGTGCAATCAACGCGGTACAGTTAATGTTCTTATACTCATGCTGAGTTGAACGCTCGTAGTCATTCAGTATGATCTTCGGCGTCGATCTGTTCTGACGGACGCGCGTCGTCTCGTCCACAGGTTCCACGTGAACGTCTGCCACGAGTGCGTGCGCTACCGCAACGGCGAGCAGTGCGAGGACGCGTGCGAGGACGACTTCTTCGCCGACGAGGAGCGCCACCAGTGTCTGCGTTGTGCCAGCGAGTGTCGCGGCTGCTACGGACCCGGCCAGCGCTGCAAGGCCTGCAGGAACTACCGCATCTATCTGGTCAGTGTGTGGGCGAGCGTTGCACGTCGTGCGGCGCTTGGGGCGTAGGGCGTTCTGAGGCTCGTCATGACTAGGGAATGTGTGTGGCAATTAGTTTCGTGACCACAGTGTTCTCCTCTTCTGATTTGGGGCCTGCTTTCGTCCCGGGCTGGAGTTAGGCAACGTTCATCATATCAGATTTAAGGGGAGTTAGAGAAAAAGCAGATCAACATCGCTGTTTCTTTTTTGGCGGTGTTGGTTTTCTGTCACCACGTAAATAGTGCCTCCGGCGTTACGCCGATTCTCAGGGCTGTCTTGCACGTAAAAGGGAGGCGTTGGTACATTCTAACATATCTCTGATCATTCATGCATTCGTTTACATTTCTTTTAAGCAATGCTTCCAATGACAAAGCTCCAGGGAGTGCTGGAGCTTCAGACCATCGCCGCAGCTGCTGACCGTGCCTCCTCCGCAGGACGCTGCTGATGGCTCAACCAACAGCTCTGCCTTCAACTGCACGGCCCACTGTCCGGACTCGCACCCGCACAAGATCTTCCCGGAGGATGGCGATGACCCGTACTGCTCGAGCGAGACGGATGCGCTGCCACTGCACGGCTCGGGAGACAGCGTCACCATCATCGCGTCCTCAGTGGTTGTCACGCTTGTCGTCCTGCTGGCGCTCGCTACCGGCGTGATCTGCAAGTGCCGCAGCGACAAGAAGAAGGAGGACATGCTGAAGATGACGATGATTATGAGCAAAGAGGGTCTCAACGAGCCGCTCAAAGTGACTAACGTCAAGCCGAACTTGGCCAAGCTGCGTATCGTCAAGGAGATCGAGCTGCGCAAGGGCGGCATCCTCGGCTTCGGCGCGTTTGGCACCGTCTACAAGGGTGTCTGGGTGCCGGAGGAGGAGCACGTGAAGATCCCAGTAGCCATCAAGGTCCTGCGCGAGGGCACTGGCGCCGACACCAACAAGGAGATCTTGGAGGAGGCGTACATCATGGCGTCGCTGGACCACCCGAACCTGCTGCCGCTGCTGGCTGTCTGCATGACATCGCAGATGATGCTGGTGACGCAGCTGATGCCGCTCGGCTGCCTGCTCGACTACGTGCGCAATAACCGCAGCAAGATCGGCAGCAAGCCGCTGCTGAACTGGTGCACGCAGATCGCGCGCGGCATGGCTTACCTGGAGGAGCGGCGGCTGGTGCACCGCGATCTGGCTGCGCGCAACGTGCTCGTGCAGACTCCCAACTCGGTCAAGATCACCGACTTCGGGCTGGCCAAGCTGCTCGACATCAACGAGGAGGAGTACAAGGCGGCCGGCGGCAAGATGCCCATCAAGTGGCTGGCGCTCGAGTGCATCCAGCACCGCATCTTCAACCACAAGAGCGACGTCTGGGCGTTCGGTGAGTCGTGAAGCGGCGAGCGCTGCGAAGCATCGTTTGTAAAGTGATGCGTGACTTACAAGCGGCATTAGGTTTTGTAGCGGCCATCTTGTATTTCTTAGCTGGTCGTAAAAGGTGTTACTGACGTGGTGTTCGGGCATTTTTGTTCAGAACCGTCGCTGAAAATTGCGACTTAAGGTATCCGCCTCTCAATTGTATTTTTTAGCATTTGGAGGCGTATGCATTTGCAAAAATAGATACAATTATTTCCGGATGCGATGGTGTACACAGCCACGAGTCCGTGACGATCGACTGACGCGTCCGTCTGCCCGCCAGGTGTGACGGTGTGGGAGCTGCTGACGTATGGCGGCCGGCCATACGAGAACGTGCCGGCCAAGGACGTGCCCGACCTGCTGGAGAAGGGCGAGCGGCTGCCACAGCCCGGCTGCTGCTCCATCGAGATCTACATGATCATGATCAAGTGCTGGATGCTGGACGCCGACTCGCGTCCCACGTTCCGCGAGCTGTCTGAAGAGTTTGCCAAAATGTCGCGCGACCCCGGTCGCTACCTGGTCATCCCCGGCGACCGGCTGATGCGTCTGCCTTCCTACACACAGCAGGTGAGTGTTCGGACGAAAGGGGTCCGCCCGGCCTTGGCTCCCGCTCTGGCTCTGCAGAGTGGTAACTACGATGCATACTGCGAATTCTTGAAGTTTGCATTCATCCACCTCACGTCCTTAAGGAACTGTGTCACGTGTTTATCGAGTTGTTGGTTCGAGGTACCTGATTCGAAGATTAGTAATGGAAGAGCGGAGTGATACCGGTTAGAGGCGCGTGTGAACGATCCCAAATACCAGCCCTTGCTTCCACCAAGACTGGTATTACAACGTCACGGAATCTGACGCAGACAACTATCCTAAAGCCATGAAAGTGTGCGACGCAGCACTCATGACCAGCACCAACAGCACCGCCACAGCTACTCGCTCCGCTGACGCCCCCCCCCCCCCCCCCCCCCTCGCCCGGCAGGACGAGCGGGAGCTGATGCGCAGCCTGGCCGCCTCGGCGCTGGACGGACCGACCGACGTGCTGGTGAACGCCGGCGAGTACCTGAACCCGCAGGGCCACACGGGCTTCAGCACGGCGGCGCCATCGCTGCGCTCCGGCTACCCGGCGTCGTCGCTGGCCACGCTGCAGGACGAGGTGGACGAGTGGCCGCGGCCCGGCTCGCCGGCCACGTGCGCCGGCCGCCAGCCGCGCTGCTCGGCCGACGGCAGCGGCAAAGGACGCACTGACTCTGTGTCCTCCAGCCCCGGGGACTGCCTGCACTCCGCCGGTGAGTCAGTGCGCCGGCCCGGGGGAGCGACGCCGAGCGTGAGCGTCGGAGCGACGCGGAACACCACTCGCGAACCAGGGATTCAACGTGGCAGAGGCTGGCGACGTAGTAAGGGTCTTAATTTCTAAATCGGGCGCACTCTTTAATACCTTAACTTCAAGCTGTTTGTGGAGAACGGCAGAGCGTGCTTGAACCAATGGGCTCCGTATTTGGGAACCGCAGCTAAAATCACCGACTCATGCGCTAATAAGCAAGCTACCAATCCACAACTCTTGCCCTGTAAGCTCTCACCCGTATCTAACTTTCATCTACGTTTTTCTTTCCGCAGACGGCGATCTGGGCGATAACGACTGTTTCGAGCCGGCGACAGGCTACTCCTCGCTGCCGGTCGCCGGCGCGGGTACCTCCCACCAGGCCATCGTGGCGGGGCTAAAGCTGCACCTGCCGCTCGACGAGGACGACTACCTGATGCCCTCCAACGGACAGTGCTCGTCCGGAGGGTACATGGATCTGGCGGCAGGATACCAGCCAGGTAGGTTTGCGTTCGCGGTCGCCGGACCGTGAGGAGGGAGCTCGTCCGGTCCGGAACTTTTTGTGAAAGTGTGGTATGAGACTTTGATTGTGAGTCTAGGTGGTTTTGTCTGAAACGGTGTGCAGTATATGTATCGTGAAGGTGTTACAAGGAAGCACATGGCACTTGCATTGTGTTAAACTTGGCAGAATGTTGCTACATGGCGTTATGCTTCTTTCAGTTAAATTATCAGATAAAATGAAGCTCCGTGCAGGTGGCGACTGTAGTTTTTAAGACGGTACCCACGATATGCGTGAGGAGCACTGCAGCCGTCTTTTTGTGATTTCCGAGTCCATGCTGATATCCTGAGTTTATGTGTTGGTATTTCAAGCTGGTGCAACCTGCAACATGAGGCCGGTGTTGTTTTCCAGGCGAGTCTTCGCGGGCCCCCACCGCGCACCAGCACCCGTTCATGGTCAGCATGGACAACCCTGAGTACCACATGGTGGCGAGTCGAGGTCTGCTGCACGGCTCGCTGGCCGGCGGCCCTCGTCACGGCTACGGCGCCGACTACGGCTACGGTCCGCTCTCAGAGACCGGGTACGCGGCCGGCGGCGCGGCCGGCCCGTTCGGCGGCTCGCCGCCGGCCAGCGGAGCCTACCCGAGCTGCGCGCACCCGGGCGCGCCCTTCGCGAGCAGCGCGCCACCTAGCGGGGCGTACCCGGCGCCCGCGCACGCCGCCGGGACGTTCGTGAACAGCGCGCCGCCCAGTGTGGCCTACCCGGCCGTCGGGCCGTCGCATCCCGGCGGCCCGTTCGCCGCGAACTGCTACGGCGCGTCGTCGCCGAACTCTGTGGGCGTGCCCGTGGCGGAGGGCGTGGCCCGGTGGGCGGGACGTCGCACACCCGCTGACGAGGCGCCCTACGAGTACTACGGCGCCATGGAGCGGGAGCCGGACGCCGCCGGGGCGGCCGACGCCTGCCCTAGCGAGACGACCGTGTGAGCCGGCAGGCGGCGCTGCCGCCGCCGCCGCCGCCGCCAGCGCTGTGGTGGCGCCACAGTCGCGCCTTCTCCCCTGTGCCAAGTCACGGCGGCTGGCCGTTTGTGCCGCCCGCCGGCGCGCCGCTGTTAACGGAAGTGCGCAACATTGTTAGCTCCATTTGTGGTTGGTGTGCGACCTAAGGCGACTTGACATGTTGGATTATGTTGTTAATGCTTGAATTGACGTGCCTTCCTCCGCTATGCATGCGTGTCCGTGTGCCACTGTAGATGTTGCAGTGAAATGTGATATTGGACCGATGTGGACTGGGCTTATCTGATCTGGAAGCGCAGGGTGAAGTGGGTGGGGTGGGAGGGAGGGCTGGGTCCGTTTTATACAAATGTAGGAGAAATGTGCCTTGTCAATATAGTATTATATGGACTTATTAAGACCTTGTGTTTATTCGAATAACGTTTTGTCATTATTAGGCTCAGCTGTAGAAGGTGCTAAGATGATGACTGGAAAAACCTTTGAGATTTGTCGACCCCATGACCATTTTGTGGGCTGGCAACATTCAAAATGGCAAGAACACTCTACGCGTATTGTTGGCAGGTCCATGCACCCGTGCATACCACGAGAAGTCGCTTTGTTTGGCAGGTGATGTTGGATCACAGCTGTAGCATGCCGTATACATTTTGCATCAAACAAGGTAGTTTAGGATAGCCCTTACCCACACCTCTTTCCTCTTTCTTGCGTCATCCTGCATACTCGCGACGCCCGTCGGTCGGGGGCAGGCTGCATGCCCCAGCTGCGAGTGAGCCGACAGGCCCTTGGAGGGGAACCCCGACCGGGTGCTCGGAGCATATTCCGCAAGTGGGTCCCCGTGCGGGCTAAGGCTCGATGGTTGGTCCCCCAGGCGCGTGTATTCCTGCTCCACTGCTATTCATTCTTCTTAACCACAAAGCCCTGAAAATGATCATTACTGGTCGAAAGTGCTCTAAACCAAAACACCAACTATCGATAACCCTTAACAACGGAAAATGGCCCCGCATTACCGGCATAGGAGTCACACGCGTGATTCATTGTCGTGGTATAAGAGTTTGTTTACACGCGAAAAACGGACTCGCTACGTGTAAGGGACTTACCGGCTGTGTCGTCCAGTCGGTCGATAATGACCATTGCGAAAGACGGCTTTGATGGCATGCTGTTTCTGTTGAGGGTGAATTGCATCATCGTGGCTTGCCCCCCGTTCACTGGCTCTGGCCTCCCAGCCGCCTGCTCCACCCTGTCGACAACGTAACCAGATGCCCGGTCAAAGTCGCAGTACAAAGTCCAGCCGGACTGAGCTGTAAAGCAGCCGCGCGGCGGTGCCGGTGCCAGTCCTCCGCCGAGCGCCGGCCGGCCTCTGTCGCCATGAGGGCGGCTCGCTTCTCCCAGCTGCTCTCCCAGCTCGGAAGCGTCGGGCCGCCTGCCTGGCCGGGCCCGGCGGCCGCGGCCCGGCGCCTGACCGCGCTGGCTGGCGGGGCGGCGGCCCGTCCCGGCGCGCCGACCGGCCGCGGCGCGCCGCAGCGGCTGGGCTGCGCTGGCCTCGCCCAGCGCTCCGACCCACGCGGCACCGCCGACCTGCCGCAGCCGCGGGAGGATCGGCCGCAGCCGGCGCCGGCGTCGGTCCCGCTCGTGGACGCCGCCGAGCTGGTCGAGGCCGGCGAGGCCGGTCGCTGCGTGCGCGTGCAGTGGCGTGACGGCTCCGAGTCGCTCTACCCGTTCGTCTGGATGCGCGACAACTGTCAGTGCTCGGACTGCTTCCTAGACCGGCCAACGTTCGTGCGTGCGCTCGTACTGCGCGACCTCGACGTGGACGCGACGGTGCTTGAGTGCGCACCGTCGGCGGACGGCGATGAGCTGCACCTGACCTGGGCCGGCGGTCACCAGAGCCGGTACGCCGCCGACTGGCTGCTGGCGCGCTCGTTCCGGCCGGAGGAGCAGCGCCGGCGACTGGAGGAGCACACGCTGGAGCGCTGCCACTGGGACGCTTCACTGGCCGACCACCTGCCGTGCGCAGACTTCCAGCGCGTGCTGGAGAGCGAGCCGACGCGGCTGGAGCTGCTGGTGGCGCTGGAGCGTTATGGCCTGGTGGTGGTGAAGAACTGCGGCCAGCAGCGCGACCAGGTGCGCCGCCTTGTGGACACGATCGGCTACCCGCGTACTACCCACTACCAGACCATCTTCGAGGTGCGCAACAAAGTCGACCCCATCAACATCGCCTACACGACAAAGCGGCTCAACATGCACACGGACCTGCCCTACTACGAGCATCAGCCGCAAGTGCAGCTGCTGCACGTGCGCCGCCAGCACAGCGGCGGCGGCGGCCGCTCCGAGTTCACCGATGCCGTGCACGTGGCGCACCAGCTGCGCCGGCTGCAGCCCGAGGCCTTCCGGCTGCTGGCCGACACGCCGGTCGACTGGGCGAACGTGACGCTGTCGCAGGAGACGGGCCGCAGCCACCACAAGCTACACCGCGCGCCCGTGCTGCACGTGAGCCCGGCCGGCCGCGTGATGGGCGTGCGCTTCAGCCAGGCGCAGCGCGACTCGTTCTTCGGCGTGCCCCTGGAGGCAGTGGAGCGCTGGTATCGCGCTGTGGCGCTGTTCAATCGGATGTTGAATCTGCCGCAGTTCAAGGTGTCCTTCCTGCCGGAGAGCGGCGACATGCTGGTGTTCGACAACACGCGGCTGGTACACGGCCGCGAGGACTACCACCAGCCGGAGCAGGCCGGCGAGCGCTGTCCTCGAGGGCGGCTACATCGGTCTGGATGACGTCAGGGACCACCGGCGCACCCTCCAGCACCGGTGTGGCGACAACCCATACGGCCTGTAACCCGGCCGGTGGGTCTGCCTTTCGTCAGGAGGCCGACAAGACGCCTGACAAATTCCAGCACAGCCGCTGACCTGAATCGGGCGATGCGTTTTGTTCATGTGTGGAGTTGCGCGGGTGCTGTTTTGTCCTTGCCTTCGAATGTATGTGCGTTTGTTTAAAAATTCAGTCCAACCTTTTTTAATGAATGTATATTTTGGATCGGCGCCCACGCTAGACAGTTCTTATTGCGTAGGCCCACACGATAGTGAAATTCCTGGCCGACGGCAGAATTTTGGCGCCGTAAGCTTGACGCGCTTCATTGCTCAGCCCGGCGCGGCTTCTGTTGCGTGTTCTGTGCAGATGGCCTCCAGAGCCTGTTACAGCGTGATGCAAAGCAACGCCATTGTCTTTCGCAGGGTAAAAACATTTGTACTAATGACAAGCAACAGTGTTTCTTTATTTGCAGCATATCTTGAACGCGTTCAGCCGAATGTTGGATCCTTGTTTTCTACACAAGTAATGCCTTCTAATGCAAGCTAGCCGCTCTGGGCTTATACTGTAAAGCACGGCCCTAGCACATACAGCCTAAATGTACAGCTGAAGATAAATGCAGTTGTAAGCACATGCTCCTTATTTTACTTGCATCTCATTGCACCCCATCGCAGACTCATGGTTCAGAAATGTCTTGCTACACATAGTTTGGTCAAGCAAAGATTAGAAACAGATGGAGAGTTCCCATATGTTTGGTACAGTTAGGCAGCACGGCGGAATAAAGCAAACCCGAAGGAGAAGAGCGGTATCTTCCCCAAGCGAATACACTTGAGAAGCGTTTGAAAGCAAAGTGGCACGCATCAGAACGAATGTACCATTGACGTTGTATATTTGAAATCATGGATTATATCATAAACCTGGTTGTTTGGGCCTATGGTTATGTTATTCACAACATATGCAAGCATATACAGCCGAGCTCTAGCCACCATTGGGTCTTAGTTCACTTTTCAGACTCGTTTAGTAGACGGGCAGCCTAAAGTGTAACAAATTGATGGTCCTGCTGAAATGATCTATAATTCGACGCGCTGTTACCTACCCCATGTTGCGCATCCCATACTAGGGCGGACATGCATGCTATCTATATTTTTCAAGACCTTTGTTAGTTCCGACTTGCTTTTGGCACAGATGTGACATGTACCTGTTCTCTTTATCTGTCGTCGAAAGAGGGAACTTTGGGCTGTGTGAATGGAAGTTCCTTGTACAGGAAAGTCGTCTACTTTCCAACTTGCACTTTTTCTGGATTTGATGACTGCGGTTACCAGATGCATGTGAACGCAATGTTAGATACGCCGGAGCCTTTCAAAACGCGTAACATGGATTGGTAAATTGTGCTTCTCTTAAAGCACAGTTGCAATACTTTTGCCACTCATATTTCCGCAATATCAGATAAATTAGTCAGTTGGTTATGGAGTCTGGACGCGTCAACTGTATTATATATATATATATATATATATATATATATATATATATATATATATATAAACAAGTGTGTGTTTATAGATGTATCACATGCATGTACATATCATAGAAATGACTTCTAATGTTTCACCTTTGCTTGCAGCTTCATTCGGAAGGTGTCGTTTTTTCCGTACAAGCTCACGATGGCGTGCAGCGCGTGATGCCGCGTGATTTGTGGTCAGCTCACGCAGTTCGCTTGTCTGGACGCCATTATAACGCGCTTTGTGTCAATAAGTAAGCTGGGGCAAACGGCCAAGTTAGAACGGAACTGATAAAACTGAACCTGCCCGTGGAACCTTCTCCGCGTCATTTAATGTTCTGAAACGGTCTTGGTCTAGTTGTCCAGTATTCAGCCGCCTCCAGGACTTAAACTCAAATGCTTGCAACTCAGTAAACCGTGGCGAATCAGCGAAGGAAGACAACCCAGTATACAGTGATGGACCAGTGGAGTAAAGCAACCCAATATACCGTGGTGAATCAGCGAAGTAAAACAACGCGGTTACCGTGGTGGACCGGGGAAGTAAAGCAACCCAGTATACCGTGGTGGACCGGGGAAGTAAAGCAGCCCAGTTACCGTGGTGAACCAGGGAAGTAAAATAACCCAGCATAACGTAGTGGGCAAAGAAACCTAAAACAACCTAGTACATCGTGGTCAACCAGGGAGCCAAACAAATCATTGCACGCCGAAAACGTGCCTTCCTGTACGTTTTTCTCCATCATGACGCGTGCTATTTTCTTGTCCGAAATCCTGAACGCGCTCGAGACTGGTGAATTGTAAGGAATACCAAACGTGATTCCTGGCAAACCTATAATGAGCAGTTCACTGCTGCTACTCCCCCTGAACCAGTGTTGAAGAATAGTTCTAGCCAATCTTGAAAAACGCCCTTCTTTTCCACTACCGACGTAACGCACCAATAACCAAATCAGTTCGACGTCTATCATCACAGGTGCTCTCCCCGAGAGCCTCGTTCAGTGTACTTCATCTAGAAATTACCAGGGGGCCTCATGTATCATGAATATGCCTGCTTTCGTTGATATGATCATTGCTTTCTCTCCAACACTACGGGAGGCTAAAGTACGCCATTTTCTTTACTAAAACGCCAAAGCGCGAATAAATCAGCCGGCAGCAGCGTGGTCAGCTGCACTATGATTTCTCCCGTAATCTTTCTGAAATGATGCTCCATTTAATTCTGGGTGTCTTTAATGGCATTTTGGTCGTCCTATGTCTTCCTTGAGGCATGGAAGGACACCATCATTATGCTTCTTCCTTAAGCGGGTCGCCCTGCAACATCCCACGAATTATTGGCCCATCGCACCCACTAGTACGATCTGCCCTGGAAAGCTTTTTAAACGGATGGTGGTCAATTGAATTTCTTGGTTAATGGAACGTGACGGCCTCCTTAAAACAGGTCGTAAACATGGGAAGAAAGCAGACTGCAGCATTGGACATTGGCGCAAATGTTTGGAGACTCTGAGTGGAGCAGGTAAGAGACTGTTTGTCTCTGAAGGTCAGCAGCAATCTTCCCCCTTCCCCAACCTCATGTCAAAGTGACATTGATACTATGCGTGCTATGTTGCGAGAGGAGGCCGGGAAGAGAGAGAGAGAGAGAGAGAGAGAGAGAGAGAGAGAGAGACAGAGAGAGAGAGAGAGAGAGAGAGAGAGAGAGAGAGAGAGAGAGAGAGAGAGAGAGAGAGAGAGAGAGAGAGAGAGAGAGAGAGAGAGAGAGAGAGAAGAGAGAGAGAGAGAGAGAGAGAGGAGGAGAGAAGAGAAGAGAGAGAGAGAGAAGGAGAGAGAGAGAGAGAGAGAGAGGAGAGAGAGAGAGAGGAGAGAGGAGAGAGAGAGGAAGGGAGAGAGGCAGAGAGAAGAGAGAGAGGAGAGAGAGAGAGAGAGAGGAGAGAGGCGAGACGAGAGAGAGAGAGAGAGGAGAGAGAGAGAGGAGAGGGAGAGAGAGAGAGAGAGAGAGAGAGAGAGAGAGAGAGAGAGAGAGAGAGAGAGAGAGAGAGAGAGAGAGAGAGGGCAATCTCGCCTCTCTGACTGCGTTGAAGTGGCAGCATCATGAAGAGAGATCGACCAACCTGAAGAAGTACGCATGAAAAAATACGAAGAAGTGGACGAGTTACAAGCCACAGGTCATGAAAGAGACGCCAAGATACAATCTTGGAAAATTCGAAGATTGTATATTCTCATTCTGTGAGTATTTGATAAATCGAAATAGGAATCCAAGTGAAGGATTTTTAAGACATTTGGAAGCAATGTATATATATATATATATATATATATATATATATATATATATATAAGCCTTGCATATAACCCTCGCTTTTAATTTTGAAGCTTTGGCCATCCTGGGCGCGAGCCATATCCATGGCTCATGTCATATATAAATTCACTGTTGAGGCAGAAGCATCACCAATGACCCGAAATATTTATCCACTTGACGAATCTGCCTCGGCAATCATGCTAAGTCGCACGCATGCTACTAGGAAAATGGGCTGTCTGTTTGCCGCATGGTATTGATCGGTCGAGTAATTGTGCACAGGAAATGATAGCAGCGGTAGTGTAAAATACAAGAGAACTGTGTGCAGCCAGCATATTAACATATCTCCAAAGTACGTTTTAAATCAAGAGAGGGTAAATTTGTTCATCCCTCCCTCCAGCCGGGCATCATGATGTACTCTGACCTTATTGTTTCTTGGGCTTCTGGCCTTATGTATTGTTATGAGCTTCATGATGCTTCTGACCTTATTGAAATGTACCCTGACCTTGACCCCATTCGCGCACATATATACCTTTGGAGATGTTTCTAAGCCTTTTGTTGCCTATAATATCCATAATCGGTAATTACAAAGTAAACGCATTCCAACGCGCGGCCGCGTGACGGGCACCGACCCCGGAAACCGTGCACTGTTAGTCTGGGGGCATAAGAGCAGTCTATGGCACTCATCCAACGAGTGAATGAGCTCAGCGCGGGCAAAGCCGGTGCTAACCGGTTCAAGCCGCCTTTATTTGGCTCTATCCAGAGCTGACCGCACACCACACGCTTTCAAAACATACGTTGCTGACGGCCAGTGATAAACTTTGAACTTAACGTCCTTGATGGTCTTTTGACCGCGGTTGCTTGGTCATTACGTCAACAAATGGAAAAAGAGGATACCTGAACTACCGCCGGCCAAAATGTCGTTTCGGACCCCACTGAACTCAACGATTCAAACCAGGCATATGGACGCGTGTCTAGATATACGCCGCGATCACTGGCGAAGTGAAAACCAGATAGCAGCTCGACACCGGCAGCGTTGACGCATTTAAAAGAGCAGGCCACGGCAGCTCTGCTTCTCTGGTCTTTCCTCCCGAATAAAAAGCTTGGGATGGTCCCGCGTTCGAATAATGGTGCTCACTTCCAGAGGCATGGTGAGCTGTTCTTGACAATCAAACATCAACATGCTGTTTCCTCAACTAGTTTCCCATTTGAGTGCCGCAGTTCTCATTTAACCTGTGCCTTACTAGTCCGTTGAAACGTTACCCGACAGGACGCTTAATTGCTCCTACATAAGTGACAGCTTAAGCCCTGTACGGTTAACATTTCAGGCCATCGATGCTAGGGTGTTGTAGTTTTACCTGGACAAACTGCAGTGTAAGTGCAGTCTGTGTGGTAGAGTATCTAATCATCATCATGTTCCTCGCGACAGTGCCGGAGCGAGGAGACGTCATTGGACTTTGAATGGAGCTGAACGTGCCTGCGTCAGACATGAGCTATATGCAGGTTTGATGTTTGCAAAGCTGATTTACTGTAAACATCGAAGCATCATCTTTGTGCCAACCACCGGCTGCTCTCTGGAGCAACATGGCTCAACATAAACAGTCTGCTGCTTAGTGCAACATCTGGTGCTTCCAAGATGTGGTACACATACTAAACTTGGTACTTGGAATTTCCTTAATGCTCCAGTGAGTTGTTGCATCCCCTTACATCAAAGGTGTCTGTTTATTGAAACCGTATCGTTCGTTCTGCCATCGGCTAAATAAATGTATCATAAACCTGTCAACGGTCGATCAGATGTGCCTACCATAACAGTGTTGGTGTACATGCCCACCCAATTTATCTGCCTGTTCAGAAACGACAGGTGTGTCGTGTTGTTGACGCGCTTTCTGCGCACCGCTATTGGTGGCTAAGATCGGGACAACTGGGGGGGGGGGGGGGAGGGGACACAAGCCTGCTCTCTAACTTAGATGGTCGCGTTGTTCGGAACGAAACAGATAGCAGTTGAGTACAGCTAAATTACAGACAGCTACAGCAGCAGGTGATCTAAATAAAATAATGTGCGGAAAATGATGTAAGCTGGAAAACAGACAAGAAGGTATCTAAGTAAAATACATTTTTAGCATCTTTGAATCAACTTGACCAGCCAAATCGCATCGGATGGATTGCAAAGATGGCGGCCTTAGTGTTTAGGATTGCAGCAACTTCGACCGTGTCGCCGGAACACAGCCGAGTGACCACGGTTACACGGTCATTTAGCAAGCAGCGCTAAGTGCCGGGCGGATACGCTTGATCGGACCGCTCCACGTGGTGACAGCCTCAGGCTGCGAAGCGTGAGTTCAGAAACAGGCCGCCAGGGTCGCGTCAGTCTCGCCTCCGTGGTCGGCCCGGCTTCAAGGACGCTTCCAGGAAAAAAACGGGGGAAACTAACCGCCGCCAGGTCGGCTGGCCGGCGTCCCTCCGTCGGTATCTTTAACCCCGGGCGTCCAACCCACCGGCCGGCAGGTGTACGATCGGGCCGGTCGGGGAAGTTAAGGGCGCGCGCGGCCGAGGGAAAATTATTCAACGAATGTCTATTTCTTCAATAATTATTCGCAGAGATGCTCCACTTACATTCGGCAGGTCCAGAAACTATCCCCCAGATCCGAATCCCAAGGGCGATGTACACCCAACGTTCATAGCTATGCGAAGCGAAAAAAGGTTCTCCGCCTTGACCATGCAATGAGAATTTTCCGAGATTCTCCACTGGTACAAAATATGATCTGAGATAACTTTCCGTATTAGCATTGCCAAGCGCCATTCCTGAAAATTGTTCAACAGTCCGGACAGTTTTCCCAATATCATCTGCCGGCCAAACACGCTCTAAATTCAGCCCGACCTTGACCGGGCTGGGCGCTGGCGAAAGCCCCGGGAAGGGCTGGGCATGCATTTTGAAGCGCGCGTTTCGCTTTGAAGTGAGACGGAGGAGATGGGCGACGAGAATGATTACCTAGACTTTAATGAAACAAGTATGTATTGAAGCGTGCAGACTTGAAAGTGATTTAAGCTGCTGTTGGTTGTGGCAACCGTTGCTTATGTTTAAGGTTCGGTCTGCTTCTATTCCAGCTCCAAGAGACAGAAAGA